TTCCGGTCCGGAGGCTCGCACGGCGGGGGTCAGCGAGCAGCTCCTCACACTCGACAGCGTCCCACAGAGCCCCGAGGTCGCGGGGCCCCCTCCTGGCCGTGACCTCGGACAGCGCCGGGGGCACCGCCACACCACCACGGGGACAGCCCCCCGGCCAGGAAGAGCCCGCGTCTGGGGGCGCCATCGGCACGCTCGCCCGCCCTCGCTGGACGCCCCTGTGGAGGGGGACTTACGAGCCGGCCGAGCGACTGACGTCTTCAGGGTCACGACCTCACTACAGTGCCAGTGTCTTCCCCAGCGCACACCCCTCAAGCCTCAGGCTTGCCAGGGGTCCAGCTCTATGGGAACACCTTGTTCTATGAACTTATTGCCTCTCCCTTGGATTGTTAATGCAGACAGAACAGGGGTCATTGTGGATGAACACTGCTTTAATAAAGCACATATACAATTATTGGAAGCAAAGCAATTAGCCTTAAAATCAATCACTTTGTTAAAATCAAACCCACAATTGCTCTCCTTTGTTACTGAGATTCGATATTCAAAGCAAGATCATTGGCTCATACTGCTCGGTCAGTGTCCATGGGAGACTGATTATAGTCTCAGTTAATTAATCAAGCTCACAGGAAATTCAGTCCAGTTCAACCTGGAGTCACTCTGACCACTGCGAGTGTGAGCCTGATTCTGATCTGGGTTAATAACTAACCCAGGTCTCAATAAAGTCAGTAAAGTCCAGTCTAGAATGGAGAGTCTCAAACTGCGGTCAGTGTGAGGCTGATTATAGTCTCAGTTAACTCATCCAGCTCACAGTGAAGTCAGTCCAATTCAGCCTGGAGTGCATCACTCCTCTGTCAGTGGCAAGAGGAGTCTGGTTATAATCGCAGTTTTATCTAGAGAGACTCAAGTCTGCTGTGTCAACGTAAACAGCAACTTAAATTGTGTAACGGTGGAGAAACCCTCTTTCAAACAAGCAAAAATAAGTTTGAGCAAAGCAGGGAGACAAGATTCTCACTTATCACGTGTTTAGGGAGGAACTGAACCCAGCAAGGAGTCTGGTTATTTTACGACAGGTTGCCCCTGTTCCCTCTCAGGTGGCTGTGTCTCCGTTTCAAGGTCTCAGGGCCTCATGGGTATGGCAGGGACTGTAAATAGCAGAAGCAGGTGCGGTCTGATGGCTCTTGCCTGCTGCCCAGTTTATTACCCTATCTCACTCCTACAGGAATGGGGAAACCTTACGCCTGGGAGAGTCACTGCTCAGTTTCCCAGGCCACAGGGGGCGGGCCTGACAGTTTCTAATCTGCTTGCCAGCAGGGGTGCTGGGGTCAGCCCCCGATTTTCTATTGACACTCGTTACTTCCCTCGGTCACCTCCTGTAGAC